TGTTCTTCTCAGGGGAAGGCTTCGGCCTCTCTGCCCTGTTGCTGGACCTCCAGGGGAACTGGCTGGCCCCTGTGTGAGATGGGAGGCTGGACTGGAGGGACCCTCCTTGGTCTGGCCCAGCAGGGCTCTTCTGGTGTCCTTCTCAGGGGAAGGCCTCAGCCTCTCTGCCCTGTCACTGGCCCTCCAGAGGGACTGGCTGGCCCCTGTGTGAGACGGGAGGCTGGACTAGAGGGACCCTCCCTGGTCTGACCCAGCAGGGCTCTTCTGGTGCTCTTATCAGGGGAAGGCCTCGGCCTCTCTGCCCTGTTGCTGGCCCTATAAGAGGAACTGGCTGGCCCCTGTGTGAGATGGGAGGCTGGACTAGATGGACCCTCCCTGGTCTGACCCAGCAGGGCCTTCTGGTGTCCTTATCAGGGGAAGGCCTCGGCCTCTCTGCCCTGTTGCTGGCCCTTCAGAGGAACTGGCTGGCCCCTGTGTGAGACGGGAGGCTGGACTGGATGGACCCTCCCTGGTCTGACCCTTCAGGGCTCTCCTGATGTCCTTATCAGGGGAAGGCCTCGGTCTCTATGGCCTGTTGTTGGCCCTCCAGAGGGAGTGGCTGGCCCCTGTGTGAGACAGGAGGCTAGACTGGATGGACCTTCACTGGTCTGACCCTTCAGGGCTCTTCTGGTGTCCTTATGAAGGCTCAGCCTCTGTACCCTGTTGTTGGCCCTCCAGAGGGAGTGGCTGGCCACTGTGTGAGACAGGAGGCTAGACTGGATGGACCTTCACTGGTCTGATCCATGTTATTATGTCCTCACATGCCCCCCCACTGATGCCTCACTCCCTGTAGAACGCTCAAGTAACTTAGCACACCATGGAGGGTCAACAAGCATGAAGGAGATGGGCACAGATCTTGCCACGTCACCCTCTTGGCACATAGAAAGGGCAGAAACAACGATCACCGCAGGAGGAGACAGATTCGAGTCCAGCAGCGCTGCAGAGACCAACAAGACTTTCAGGACCTGAGCTTTGGAGAGTCAGAGCTCCTTGCGTAGCCGACCGAGGGGAGCGTTGACCTCTGCCCTGAACACCTCCGTGGCCTCCGAGGTGCCCCCGGACTCGACTCTCACCGAGGTTCTCCTGCAGAGACCCACCTGGCTGTTCTCTGGGACTCTCCGTATGGAGAGGAATCCCCAGTGGACAGGCAACTGCCGGGCAGGTTGGACGCCTGCTGTCCCATCAGATGAACAACCAAAGCTGTCTTTTCTACTAACCAAGTCAGACCACTGGACCATCAACTCTGACCGGCAGCGACTCTTCGGGAGATGCTGGGAACTGAACTACTGGCTCCTTCCAGTTTGGTGGAGTGGTTAAGTGTGCGGACTCTAATCTGGGAGAGCCGGGTTCGATTCCCCCACTCCTCCACTTGCAGCTGCTGGATGACCTTGGGCAAGTCACAGTTCTGTCAGAGCTGTCCTTGAAAAAGAGCAGTCTCTGTCAAGAGCTCTCTCTGCCCCGCCTGCCTCACAGGGTGTCTATCTGTTGTGGGGAGGGGGAGGGAAAGGAGTTTGTGAGCCGCTCTGAGACACCTTTGGGTAGTGAAGGGCCATGGGGTATAGATCCAATCTCCTCCTCTTCCTCCTCCTCCAAAAACAGTGGTATAGTAACCAATGAAGTCCACTAATGCCAACTGTTCTGAATCTCTCCTCTTTCTCACAATACAAGACATCGTGGGCCCTCCATGAAATTAATGAGAAGTAGTCTTAGAACAGATAAAAAGAAGTGCCTCCCCACCCAAAGACTAATGAACACATTGAATTCCCTGTTGCAGCTCCACGTGCAACTTTAGAACAGATCAAAAGAAGACCTTCTTCACCCAAAGAGTAACTAAGGCGTGGAATTCACTGCCGCAGGAAATGGTGGTGGCCACAAGCACAGACAGCTTCAAGAGGGGACTGAATAGACAAATGGAGCAGAGGTCCAACAGTGGCCCCTATTAGCCACAAGGCATAGATAGGAGCTCTTGGTCTGGGGCAAGGGATGCTCTGTCTTCTTGGTGCTTGGGGGGGAAACCCTGGGAGGGGGGCTTCTGGAGTTCCGACCCCGCTGGTGGACCTCCCTGATGGCCCCTGGTGTTTCTGGCCACTGTGTGACGCAGAGTGTTGAGCTGGATGGGCCATTGGGCTGATCCAACACTGGCTCCTCCTGTGCTCTTGCATTCTCTTGTCTCCGGCCACCCTGGGCCTGAAAGCAACGCCTTCCTCGCTTTGTACCTCACACTGTGTCCGTGTCAAAACACCTGCAGGTGGGAGCTTCTTGCGGCGCACCGGCCCCGCCTTTACGA